CACACACATTTTTTTCTGATTATAAAAGTTTTCTGTGCTCACTGGAAAAACAAAAAAAGCAATATTGGGAGGTATAAAAAGGGAAATAATAGCTGACCACAAACCATCTCCATAGATTTGCATTTTCCATACCTGAAAGCTTGTTAAGTGAGAAGAAGAAATCAACATCTTGCTAGACATGGAAACTGTTGAGTGCGTCTCTGTCCATGTCATCCTGTTTGGAGTGCTTTCTCATTGCCCTAACCCTGTCCTGTCGGCTCAAGGTTTTCTCTGGAGTGGTTGGAGTCCTGGGGTGGCGCTGTGGGTTAATGTGCTGGACTGCAAAATCACTTTGAACCACAAGGTCGGAGAGTCAAGCTCACCAGTCTCTCCTCAGAAACCCTATACAAGTCACTATGAGTTGGAACTGACTCGATGGCACTTAACAACAATAACACTAGTGGTTTATGAGGCCCTCAACTTGTTGTAGGCATTGGCCCAGCACTTTATAGGCATGAGCTCCGTCTTTACAATAACCCTGTGAAGGCTGTTCCCTGTTCAGACAATGATAAGGGCTAGGGTAGGTGGTCAGAAGTTAACTTGCCTGTGTAGGGCTGCCTGTCTCCAGAAAGCCTATGCTTGATCAGGAACTTAATTTTCTTGTTCTTGTTTCTAGTGATCATACCTGTTTTAATTCTGAACAAAATTGAGATCTGCAATTTTAAATAATCAGCTTCACATTTTTCTCAGATGATAGCAGGTTGGACTGCATGCAAACAATTGAAGTTGGGGTTGTGATTGTAGGAAAATTTAACCTATACTTCCCAGGTATTATACACTTGATCCCAAGTTCTTTTTATTGAATTTAATTTGTTTCATGGGCTGCAGAACTTTGGTCACTATTGGTTCAGAGTGGTGTAACAGTTAAATAGGCTTTAAGTAAAAAGTTTTATCTTCAGCATTTAAAGGACAATTCTTGATTTTTATATTGGGCTTGAAGAAAAGACCCCATATATGGAGGGGATTGCAACCATGCAGTGAAGCAAAGTGTATGGTTTGTTGAATGTAAAACTGAGGATCTGTAAACCTTCACTCAACTCACAATAAAAAAGTTTAAAAGGAAAAACAAGAGACCCCAGTTTCCCTCTAGAGTTTTGTCCTGTAATGCTGCTTGGAAGACACTAAAACATGGTCAGGAGTCTTATCCAGTCATCCTGACTTGCCAGTCTTGGCCCATCTTGTTCAAAGTATGGTGCTTTCAGTGGAAAAACACTAGCTGGGAGGGACAGTGCTGTACTTGTCCTGGCTGGAATGTTCAGTGCCATCTGTTTGGGGTGCAAACAATGCAGGTCTCCGTATGACAGTAAGTTTCTATTAATTTTTCTCAGCAAGAATAGAAAATTGGATGCTATATCTGGAATGAAATCAGAAGCTCATAGTAGTCCTTTCAGCGTTTGTTGACTTATTGACTTGGAATGCCCTTGACCTCTCCTTCTGCTATTCCACTGTTGAAAAGAATTGGTTATATGGCAGCATTTCTCTTTATTTTCTTTCATCTCCTCTTGCTGTGTGGTATGTGTGTAGTGTGGGAAGGAGAGAGGGAGGGACAATAGGAATTTATTTAACTATATTCTGTTCAGCTCTGAAGTAGGTAAAGAAATTTTAAAAAACACAAAAAAGCATTTGATTGGATTGACCAGTGCAAGACCTTGTGCAGTCTTGTACAAAATTTCATGGACCAGTTTCACCTTTGTTTCCCGTTGCTCGACTTCTTATGTTGCTCTGATGCTCACCAGCTTATTTGGACTCTATACATCATTTGTGTAGTTCATGAGTGAGTGAGTGGCTGCCTGAGTTTCTATCTGACTGTGTAAGTGCTGTAGGGTTTACACCTCTGTCTTCATTCATTTTAGCTCTCCTGAAGTAGATTTTTCACTCACCTGTGTTCTGTAATACCCACTCCTTTAACTTCTAGTCCTCTAAAGTTTGTTCAGATGATTGCATTATACTCTTACCTGGGCTGCCTCCCCTCAGAGCTCAGTCTTGCAGTCATCACCTGGATGACAGCTGCCATCTTATATAAGCTTGCTGACAGCGGTTCTCGGGAGCACTTTGATTCCAGTATCTTAGCATGTCATGCAAAGCAATTTAGTGCAGTCATTTAAGATCATGAACTTTAGCTCTTTAACTGTCATTAGATGGTAAACATTTTAAGGGTAGGGATTGTCTTAAATTATACCACACACTCCCAAGCTTCTAGCTCCCAATAGAAAATTATTAACCCTGTAAATATGCCCGAGAAAAAACAGAATGTTTTTATCCATGTGGGTCTCTTGTGTTTTAAGTAGCTTTTCTGTAGCTCACCAATATTCTTCATTCATGATAACAACATCACAAACCAGGGCTTTGTGCTTACTAGAATGTTATTACCCACTATTGCCCATTTCTCAGTCCATCTGACTTGACTATCTTTCAGCTAAAGAAAGGGTTTTGGGTAACTTACGGAAACATGAGGCTCCCCATCCTCCCCTTGTTCTGGACCCAATGAGACCTCCTGTACCAGTGATTTCCTCAGCCACCCTACTGAGTCAGAAGGAGACCACCCAGCTTGTGTACGTGGACCTGAATCTACTGCAACAGCAGGCCAGGTAAGACCCCAAAGATCATGCCTTCTAAATGCTTAACTGCTTTAACAACCTTGATGATTTCATGGATAGAATGGCTGCCTCATTAGGACCATTAGACCAGACTGGTCCAGACTCTTCCTTTGGTTAACTGGGTTGTGATAAGTCTTTAACTTCCACATAGAAAGTATGTGGTATTCTCATGGGCTTTTTTTTTTTCAATGTTTTATTTTGAATTATGTGATAGTTTACATGGGAGAACATTAGCTTACATTCATCTTATCGTATATCATTTCATTGCCGTCGTGGTTACAGTCCCCTCCATGCATCATCAACCAACCAAAGGGTATACTCTGCAAGGCTA